AAAAAATATTTTATGTTTATAATAAAATATATATAATAAATAATTTAAAAAAATATAAAGAATTCATATTTCATAAAAATAATTAAACCTTTAATAATTTTATACTCACCAATAAGTTCAGTGACTTCGCTTGCCTGAGCCCTAGGTAACTCACTAATCGACGTTTCTTTTGCTTTGAGTTCCAAGGGTTTAATTTCTTTTAGCTCACCCAGTCCATGCTCAGGTGTTACTTGAGACACCTATGCAAATAATCATGGAATGTTATCAAATAATATTATAAATTTATAAAAACTAAAATAGTTTATTATACTATATTACTAGCTGAATATGAATATTACATATATAAAAAGTTAATATTCATAAGCTTATTATGGATATCAATTAGCAGAAATTTTAGACATTGGCAATTTAGGTTTTGCTTCATGTTTTCAGGGGTCTCAGGCTTGTGTTTATCAATATTTGATCTTTGTTTAATACTTGGAATCTAGTACTAATTAAATCTTGATACTATCAAGTATCATATGATACATTATATTACATTATATTTACCTTTTATGTTATATAAACATATATAAAAAGGATTTGGAAAGGGCCTTGACTAGGGTCTTGCACAATTCAAAGTCATGACTAAGACATTATGAAGTAATAAAATTTAGAAACTTTTGCTAATATATTATCACATGACATAGATAAAGAAATAGATTGCATTAACAACCACCATGCTCACAGAGTACCAGTGGTCCATGGACCATACTTTCAGAACTGCTGTTATAGAGTATAAAACAACCCATTGCTTTTCTTCATTAGGGCATGCAACATGCTTGCTACCAGCTTATAATTAATAAGTGACCAAGAATTTTTATTACATTAAAAATGATTTTAGCCATTATATTTATATTGGGTTGTTCGGAAAGTAAGTTCGTTTTTTTTCCATGGAAAAAAACGCAATATTCTTATAATAAATAAATATTTTATTGAATTATATGTTGACCATTTTGGTCAAATATCTGTTGTCATCGTTTCTGGTAGTGGCACGATTTCACATTCATAAAAGTTTTGATCGTTTCTTACAAAAAACCGATTCAAGTGATTTTTGACATTGTCATTTCAAGTAAATGTCTTACAGTTAAAAAAAATTGTACAGACCAGAACAAGTAATAATCTGAGTGTGCTCTATCTGGCAAATACGGTTGGTGTGATAGCAGGTCCCATCTAAGTTATAACAGTTTCTGACGAGTTACCAAACTTGTGTGAAATTTGACGTTATTGTGGTAAAACACTACAGCTGTTTTTTTTTTTTATCAATTCTGGCTGGCTTTTTCTGTTTGATGATATTTCGCAATTTGTTTACTCGAATGCAGTACACTTTCGAATCAATTGTTAAATTGTCTGGTAAAAGCTCCAAAAAAAATTTCCTTAATATCCCACCAAATAGAGCATTTCTCTTTAAGAACTCGTGGAATTCATATATCGAGCTTTGAAACGAAACCAATTTGTTTCAAGTACTCATAAACAGTTCAATTTGACAAATTTAATCTCTTAGT